TGTGTGTGTATATATATATATATATATAAATGAGATATTCATATAAAGTACAGTACAATGCCAGACACACAGAAAATACTTGGGAAATGTTAGATGTTGTTGTCATTATTGTTACTGTTGTTTTTATTAAACAGATAAGATTACCCAGAAAAGAGCATGTAGATTAAAATGCAAAAAGAATCCAAGTTTCAGTTACACTGTTGACAGAATCTAGATGCTCTGAGCCAAGAATGACTATGCTGCTCTTTCAAACATCAGTATAGCAAAGAGCTGGGAACAGATTTGGCAATCTTCTTTCTGCTAAACGTTGCTAAAAGACCAGGACGTGCAAGGGCCAGATTCAGACCACACGAAGTCTTGGTGTACCTGAAGCTCTGGCTGCATCATATGAATAAGAGTCTCTGAAACGGGGAAACCAGAGAGGCAAGGGGCCTTGTGAACACGGCCGCACAGGCCGTAACCCAGAAATACTGCTCGGTGAAAACGCTGCTGCTCTCAGGTCTCTTCAACCAGCTGAAGTAAGTGAGGAGGTTATGAGGCTGTACAGCTTCAGTTTCTTACCTTAATCCTTCCCAGGAATTCTCTGGACAACTTTGGTTTATATTCTGAGCCAGGAATCTTCACAAGTCATGTAGCTATTGCCCATGAAATACGTTTTATTCTAATTTGGGTTCTGTTAAGTTGATAATCATGAAGTTACTAATGAATATATTTTAGTTTAACAACATTTTTTCAAGGGTTTTATTTTTCTGACTTAAAAAGTATTACACATGCATTGTAGAAAATTTAGAAAAAAAGGCACCCCTCCAAAATCACCTATAATATTAGCATCAGGAGGTAACCACTTCTATATATAGTCATATACTCCCTGAGACTTTGTTTTATTATACATACATGTAATTTTAGAAACAAAATGGCAATGATATTATATAGATTATATATAAGCTGATTTTGTTTTCACCTAAAAATATACTCTAAATACATTTCCAAACCAAATCCCAAAGGCTCTTTTTGAACCTTGGTAACTGATTCTAAAATTTATCCTGAGGTGTAAATATATAAAAAGAGCCAAGAAAACATTTTAAAGGAAGAAAAATGATGTAGGACTTGCCCTACCAGATTATAAAACAGCATAAAAGCACACTAATTAGAAGAGCATTGTATTGATACAATTAGATCAGTGGGATTTAGAATATGATCAAGATGCATTTGAAATCAATGAATTGTATTAGGAAAACTGGGCCCAGTTGTGGTTAGATTCCTACTCATGTCATACGTAAACATAAATTTAAAACTGGCTAAAGATCTAAATTTAAAAATTATACTGGGGCTTTGCTGGTGGCGCAGTGGTTAAGGATCGGCCTGCCAATGCAGGGGACATGGGTTCGAGCCCTGGTCCTGGAAGATCCCACATGCCGCGGAGCAGCTAAGCCTGTGCGCCACAACTACTGAGCCTGCGCGCCACAACTACTGAGCCCACACGCCTAGAGCCCGTGCTCCGCAACAAGAGAAGCCACCGCAACGAGAAGCCCGCGCACCACAACGAAGAGCAGCCCCCGCTCACCACAACCAGAGAAAAGCCTGCACGCAGAAACGAAGACCAAAACGCAGCCAAAAATAAATACATAAATAAATAAAATAAATCTATATAAAAAATAGAAATGTAAAAACATTCATTCAAAAAGTATTGATTGATTCGCCCATGAAAAGGCAGTTCTGATACATGCTACAACATGAACCATGAACACATTACCTGGACTGAAAGAAGATAGTCACAGAAGACCACACTGTACGACTCCATTTTTATGAAATGTCCAGACAAGGCAAACCCAGATTAGAAGGCGGATCAGTGGTTGCCCAGGGCTGGGGTGTGACGGGGTGATAAGAGGGAATGATGAAAATGTTAGAAAGCTGATTGTGGTAATGGTCGCACAATTCTGAGAACACACTAACCCTATTACATGGTACGCTGTAAACGGGTGGATTGTATGATGTGTGAATTATACCTCAAAATAACTGTAACAGCATATACTGCCTGAGTCCTGCATGCAAAGTGCTGTAAAGGCCACAGAGAGGAATGAATGAGCGCTATGGCCTTCAGCTTGGGTAGAAAGGGGAGCTGGCAGTAGATGTTAGAGGTCAGAAAAAAGGGTCATTCCAAACAGACAAACAGTTAAGAGCTGGCCAGGCGCGGAGGAGATGCGCTTGGCTGGTCCCCGAGGTTTGGGTCTCTGCAGAAGCAACGCCAGGTGTCCCCAGGCCGGCCGGGCGCAGGCACTGCCCCCAGGACCCCCCAGGCCACTCCACGCTCTCAGTGAGGCGAGCACCTCTTTAGCAGAACAGCGGAGACAAACTGGCGTAAGTTAAGAGAACGATGGCAGGTACGGCTAAGACGCAGGGTTAGAGGAAATAAACAGGAGACCTGGAGGAGCGGAGACTGAGAGCGGGAATGTGATTATGACCCACAAACGTCAGGGGTGAGGCAGAAGTGGGAAGGGTGACGGCACTGGAGGAGGACGCAGAGCCAGAAGTGATGGAAGAAGACGAGGGGAAAAAAGCAGAGGTCGACCATAAGGCTATGGTTTTTCCAACATCTAATGAATGGTCTGCCTGGGAAAAGGTGTTTAAACACAGAGAGAGGGTCAGAAGAATCAAAAGTTTAGAGAAGGCAGTGTTCCTTCATTGGTGGGAGCTGCTCTCCATCCCGCAGGCCT